TTTTATTTACCAGTGGTTTTGTTTATTTAACAAAAATAATAATAATAATGCGTACAATATGCATTGAATTGGACGAATAACCTTTGTTAGCGAGTAATTGTGTAGGATAAAACTATTTTCCTGCTCATCTGAACACACGCAAATGTTGCAAGACAGAACCAATCAATCACAGAGAGCATTCACTCACTGCTGACAGTGCATTCAAACAGGGCTGCGTTTCCCAAAAGTATCATAAGAAAGCATTAAAGCTTTTGGGAATGGCAGCCCTGAACAATGCTTATCAGAGGACAGAAAAAAACCCATAAATATTTGAGTTATTTCACAATAAACAAATTGAAATTGTAGCCTACATAGTTTGTGCAATTACAATTATTTAAATTGTATAGAAAGATAATATTGATCATGTTCTATCCTGTAATGTTAATATAAATCATACACTGTCAAAATAAAAAGGTTGCATTTTATGCATGCAACAGCCATTCACTGGCAGTCCCTAATGGCAGTACAAAATATTGCACTAAATCAAAAGTTCAAATGTTACAAATAAGTTAGAATATTAATGTTGTAATACTGGTAACACTAATATAAAAATGTGATGATATATGTTACAAAAAAGTAACAATTTTGAAATACGTTGATGGTTGTATTTTTTTGTATTTGATCTCAGTATTCCTATCAATGTTGTATAAGGGTTTTTTATGCATAATAGTAACCCTAGAATGTGATCAAACAGTTTAAAATAGCTGGGCTAAGATATATAACAGTTTTTAAGACTGCAGGAATATGTTAATTCAGTATACACATTATCCCACCGGTTACAATTGTGACTGACCATAAAATAAACATTTTCACACACTTTTCCAAAAATAAAATAAAAAATTGATTATTTCAAAGGGTTACTAATGACACATCATTTGGATATTTTCATGTCTGGGAAAAATTTGGGATTAAACGGGTTAAAATGCGTTTTAAACAAAGTTAAGTGGTTTTCAGTCCCCAATTTACTCTTAGTAATTTAATCCATTTCTGACTGACCATAAAATAAAATTTTTCACACACTTTTCCAAAAAAAAAAAAAAATTTGATTTCAAAGGGTTACTAATGACACATCATTTGGATGTTTTCATGTCTGGGAAAAATTTGGGATTAAACGGGTTCAAATGCGTTTTAAACTAAGTTAAGTGGTTTTCATTACCCATTTACTCTTAGTAATTTAATAATGTAATAAATTTCATAATTTAAAAGTTTAGTGCAGAAGTATTGAATCGGTATCGACGATACTGCCTTGAAAAATATCGGTATCGTATCGAAAACAAAATAAGGGGTATCGCCCATCCCTAGTTATGACTCATTTTAAGATATTAAGACTGCTTTAATTACCTTCTACACAAACCTACTAAAATATCACATCGTATAATTAAGTTTAAAACGGCTTTAGTTTCATATCTCATTCACACATTAGAAGCTCTTTCAGTTAATAGATGGGTGGCTCTTAAAAGAGCCTTTGTGTGTGAGCGCTGGAGCGGAGCTCTACTTGGAGCTGGTGTACTTGGTGACGGCCTTGGTGCCCTCAGACACGGCGTGTTTGGCCAGCTCCCCGGGCAGCAGCAGACGCACGGCCGGCTGGATCTCTCGGGAAGTGATGGTGGAGCGCTTGTTGTAGTGAGCGAGACGATTAAGGAAATTATGGAGGAAAAACACCCATAAAGCATCTGGTTAACTGAAAACTGAGTGTTTACTATTGTTCTTTTGCATTATTGACACTATTCTCCTGTTTAATACTGTAAAGCTGCTTTGACACAATCTGTATTGTTAAAGCGCTACATAAATAAAGGTGACTTGACTTGATAACCTGAAACTCTGTTGCTATACAATTTACAGAAACTGTAAATAAAAATACCCTTTGTGGAAAATATAACATTCGCCTTTATCTTCTGCCACATTCGGATAAAAAAAAAAAAACTAAATTTTTTTTAAAGCCTTGAATCAATTACTATTTAACTTTTTTAAAAATATTCGTGTTAAGGGTTTTCCTTTCCATTTTAATGAAAATATATTCACGATCTCAATGCACTGCTTTAAAGCATCGTTAAAATAATAATCCTGTAACGAAACTCGACATCGGTAAAACACGGACTTGTTCTGTAACCAACACTAAATTATTTATGTTTAAAGGGTGTAGTAAGAACATAGTTAGTTTTCATGTAAAGCACAAAACAGCAAGATTAACTCTTAAATGCCAGACATGTTTTCAGATACGAGAAATGTATTTTGGTAATAACAGCTTGTTTTTAAAGGCTTTTAAAATAAATAATCAGTTTTCGACTCAAAAAAAAAAAAGGTAAATATATATATATATATTTACCTTTTTTTAAAGCCTTGAATCAGTTACAATTTAACTCATTAAACTAACTTTTTGAAAAATATTTATGCTATAAGAGTTTTCATTTATTTTAATGAAAATATATTCACGATCTCAATGCACTGCTTTAAAGCATCGTTAAAATAATAATCCTGTAACGAAACTCGACATCGGTAAAACACGGACTTGTTCTGTAACCAACACTAAATTATTTATGTTTAAAGGAAGGAGTAAGAACATAGTTAGTTTTCATGTAAAGCACAAAACAGCAAGATTAACTCTTAAATGCCAGACATGTTTTCAGATACGAGAAATGTATTTTGGTAATAACAGCTTGTTTTTAAAGGCTTTTAAAATAAATAAATCAGTTTTCGGCTCAAAGTTATGAAAACACCAGTATTCCTATTTTCACTTTTTAAAACATGTTTCACAAATATTATTTGTCAACGTCCTTTCACTCAAGCAACGAAAACGAATATGGAGCAAGTGTTCCAGGGAGACATTTTACAGTTGCTTACAGGACCTAACTGAAACCAGCTCCGCGTCACATGACTCACCCCTCCCCCGCTTGTCAGAGCAGGAAACAATGTGGGTTAGTGATGGGCGATACCTCTTATTTTATTTTCGATCCGATACCGATATTTTCAAGCCCAGTATCGATACCGATACCTATAAACTAAACTGATCTTTTAAATTATTAAAATAATATAATCAGTAATTATACTCACGTAATATTAGATTTTAAAGCCATGTTTTTTAACATTCCATAGGCCTTTTGTTTACTGTCAGAAATAAAATATACTATAATTGTATTTTAGCCCTTTACTGGGGCAGTATTCTCACAGGTGCAACTATACCCTTAAAAGAGAGCATATTAGTGCCATACAAGTATGCATGCTTTAAGGGTAGATAAGTTACAAAGGTGCACCTCATGAAAAATAAACATGGTGTTACGTAAGTACTATATGTATTATTATTATTATTACCATGGTCAATTTGTGGTAACTGCACTTTTATACTGTGGCTACTGTAATAAAACCATGGTTAATTTTTGTAAAAGGCTGCCAGGCTGTTGTACCCCTAAAGCTGAAACTTTAGCATGTTTTTTTCTGACAGATTTATTAACAGCAATTACAGAACATAACACAATCCATTTGAACTTTTAACAACCAGTTTAACATAAATTTACTTGCAGAAACTAGCCAATTTAAAATAAATATTACATGTTCACAAAAGTTTGGGGTCAGCAAGATTTTGTAATAGTTTCAAGCCTCATGCTCACCAAGGCTGCACTTATTTGAAAAAATAATATTGTGAAATATAACAATTAAAAATAACTTTTTTCTATTTTAATATATTTTAAAATTAAATTTAAAATGCATCTGTGATCAAAGCTGTATTTTCAGCATCATTACTCCAGTCTTTAGTGTCACATGATCTTCAGAAATCAGTATAATACAATTTTAATATCAAGTCTATTTTTCCACTTAGAAGCTTATTTTATGCACCAAATTTCTTGATAAATAAATAAAATGGTAAAAATATATAAAAAATATATTTTTATGTGAGGATCGATCCTTACTTTCCCTAATGTGGGTTAACGCCAATCCTGATCTAATGATGTCTGTCCTTTGTTTCGTATTAAAATGTACATTTTATAAAATTAATTTGACAAATGTGATTAGATCATATCAAGATAATATTTACATATGTGCGCATTTGACAGACGCTTTTAACCAAAGCAACTTAAGTATTGTTTTGTTTCTTCTGCGTGTGTGTATATACAGTTGTGCTCAATTATTCATACCCTTGGTAAATATGATAAAAAAACAACTAACTTTTAATTGAAATTACAAAAAAATTACATTATGAAAAAAATATATTTTTCACTAGTACACTATGGCACTACACTGTTCTCCTGGAAATTCTTCTGATTAAAATACTCTGAAGTATATTAAATTCCCTTTTTCGCACCAGGGTGAATAGGAGTTACCATTTCTACCACCAGGGCAATAATTAAACATTTCCAATCAACAGAAAATGTTACAAATCTGCCTGGAAGAGGACGTGTGTTTATTTTGTGTTAAAGCGAGGTGAGGAGGAGAATTTGAGGCCAAAGACTCTGCAAAGATCACAGCTGGAGAACTGCAGAAAACAGAGTCTCGGGGTCAAAAACACCTGCATCATGTCATATCTTAAGAGAGTTTCAAGAAGAAAAAAAATCTAGAAATGAAAAAGCTCTCATCCAAAAACAAACTCCAGCACATTCATTAGCCAGACACTGGAACTCCTAACGGTACCGACTTCTATGGTCAGATGAAACAAACAAACAAAAAGCGCTTTTTAACAGCGAACACTCAAGATGGGTTTGGTGCACACAGGGATAACGTTCTACTGCTGGATCTTTAATGCTGCGGGCCTATTTTTTTTTCTGCCACAGATCCTGGACATCTTGTTCAGAATAATGGCATCATGGATTCTATTAAATACAGAAAAAAAAAAAAAAAAACTAACTTTCCATGCTAGAAATCTTATAATGGGTCATGATCCACAAACATCGAAACAGGTCACGGAGCACAAAACCAAGCTTCTGCCTTGGCTCTCAGTTCCCGGAGCTGAACCAGATGATGACTCGGAGCGGTTTTCTTGGCAAAAGGAGGTTGCAAAAAGTATTGAATAAAAGGGTATGATTAATTGACCAGTGTATGACAGAAAAAAAAAAAAAAATGAATGAAATTAAAATTTTAAAATTAAATATCAGAATACAGATATTCACAGCCTTCTTTGGTCATACTTACCAAACCAAGGGTATGTATAAATTTGAACACAGCAACGTATACACACACAGATACATACATATAGACCAAGACTGAATCAATTAAACATATTGAATAGCAAGTACATTTTCCTTATTACTTTCAGTGCTACAGTGGAAACGGTCTCGTTCAGTGCGGTGTGTGTGGCTCTTAAAAGAGCCTTTGGGGAGCACCGCAGCGGCGGGGTTAAGCGCGCTCTCCGCGGGTGCGGCGGGGCCGGCGGGGGGGGTCTGCTTGGTTCTTGCCATCGCTAAAATATACTTCTTTCTCCGTTCAGCGTATGTTGAAAATGTTTTCTATCTGATGCGTCTGCTTTTAAAGCATCAAATGGCCACGAGCTTATGATGTCATGAAAGTGCAGAGGCTTGTGATTGGCTGATGTGTGACGTCTGCGCATGACTGCTAGCCAATGACTGCAGCTTCTGTTTTCAAACAGGGCTGTTTGTGTTTCCCGCTCAAAATGCTTCGTTCAGTTTATTATTTTACGCATGATTCACTTACTCAACTTTATTTCCAGAATCAAGGTCAATCAAAACACAAAATAGTAGAATAACATTAAAAAATACTTCCTCATTGGTGACTGATTTGACAACATTATAACAGTATTCTGTGGATCATCCACCAGCAAGTATTTTTCAGCTGATCCTCATACAGTCATTGTAAGCAACCTGAAGCATACATATGCTCGCTTTTTAAAACTTAACCCACAAGGCAGCATTATAAAAATATGTACAATATGCTCTAAAAATGTTTATCTTTACGTGCTCCCAACACGACATTTTCTCAGCAATATGTTTGCTTGAACATATAACAGACACTGCCTTTACATATCATCATCATCAGCATCATCAACACTCATTATATTGTTAATGATATGACCCATTTATTAATTTTTGTTTTAGCACACACATTTAATAATTCCTCTCATAAATGAAAATATGGGATATTAAGATCTCTATGTTCTTTGGCTCTGCATATCATGGCAACCCAATTTTTTGTATTTTATTGCACATCATATCTAATCCCATAATCATAACATGTATTCAGCAGCTGTTGAAAACCAACACTACTCATAGAAACAGCTAGATCATCAGCATACTTCATGACTATGGTATGACCAACCATTCATCCAGTCTTACAGTCAATTAATTATTCCGACAATTAATTAATATAGACATTAAAAAGCGCTGGTGAAAGTAGACCTTGCTGCTCTCCATTACTTACTCTAAATGACTCGGAGACACAATTACCCCACTTTATCTGCATACTTTGATTAATGTCAAAGTTCTTAACATGGTATTAGTTAGGCCGCTTTGTCTTAGTTTACTGAACTCTATCAAAAGCATCCAATTATGAGAGGATTTTTGAATTCCATAAAGTTCTGAACATTTGTCAGTAAGATCTGCATTCAAAACACCAACCACAAAAGCACTTGCAAAATTATTTACATTAATACCAGTTATTAAAAGCAGGTCTATGTAAATATGCATCCTCTTTTTGTTGACGTGCAGATGGTGCATATAACTAACTTATCCAGACAGCAAAACACCAATAAACTTCAACATTAATATTTAATAGAGTCCAACTTTTTATGCCACAAACACTGTGCAGCCTATACAGGCTTCCTACTAACGTTGTATTTATTCGTTATGAAATACTCAATTCATTCTTTAATTTAAACGGTTGTGTAAAATAATCTCCATCTATTTACTGCGTTTTCAATTAATTATAATAAATACTCATTAGTGTAGTTATTTGGTTGATAAGTCCATCATTAAAATGGTTAATGGTTTGTCTTAATGGACTAAATAAATAGAAAGGCTCTCTCTAATGGATTAAATGGGTGGCTCTTAAAAAAAGCCTTTGTGTTTGAGAAGCAGACCAGAGATGGCGTCAGGTTGGCGACACTGGGTTGTGACTGAGGCCAAGATGGACGGAAGTGGAGTAGAGTCCGGAAGTGATCTGGATTTGGAGGATGTAGATGGCGGGGGAAATGAAAGAAACAAAAGTAGTAAGTGGACTTTAGTAGAAAAACGGAAAAGAAGGAAAGATTGGAGTCAAACATCAGGAACAGAAAGTGAGAGAGAATGTCATCAGATGAGAACAAGAAAGGAGGAGTTTAAGGTATTCACGCTCTGCGTAGTTACCTTTGTGGAGAAGTCTGTGTACACGACCGACGGGAAACTGCAGCTCTGTTCTGGAGAACCGAGTTTTGACCTTCGCTCTCGTCTTGCTACTGGTTTTCTCTCTGCCACTCATTGTCGATTAATAAATTGCATATTCTTTTAAAAGCTGAAATAATGAATTTCTGAGCCTCGGTAAGCTGCTTTTAAACGAGCGTGCCAGTCGCCCATTGGTTTAGAGCCCGTAAGATTTTAAACCAATCACTGAACTTCCCTCCAACACCCACCGCCGAAGCCACGCCTCCACAGCTGGCGCGCGGATTGTGCAGCATTTTAGACTAAACAACACATGACAGAAAACAAATTGTGATGGTGCGTTGAATAAGTTTTTAAAAATGTCGATGCAAAAACAATATTTTAATACAAATATATATATATTAGCTAATTAAATTTAAGTCAATGATCCATTAAAGCTGTTTATATTGATAAACGTGAATAACATTTTTTTTTTTTAAATGCTAAATCAACATGTAAAACATTACCAACCGCCGTAAACTTAGATATAATCTTATAAATTTACTTCCACTAAGAGTCAAAATGCAGATTTTTTTTTTCGCTCTTTCTTTAGAGTTAGTGGGTGGCTCTGAAAAGAGCCGTTGGGGAAGAAAATATTTTTTTATTTCTTTTTGGGAGCTGCCCTTTTAGGCTTGGCAGCTTTAGGCTTTGCCGCCTTGGGTTTGGCAGTCTTGGCCTTTTTGGGGCTCTTGGCTGCTTTCTTGGGCGCCGCTGGCTTCTTTGCCTTCTTGGGGCTCTTCGTCGCCTTCTTTGCGGCTGCAGCGGGTTTCTTGGCCTTCTTGGGCGATTTCTTAGCGGCGGGCTTCTTTGCCGCTGCGCTCTTGGGCTTCTTGGCAGCAGCGGGTTTCTTGGCCGCGGGCTTCTTGGCTTTAGGAGCAGCTTTCTTGGCCGGTTTCTTCTTGGTCTCGACTGGCTTCTTGCTGATCTTGAAGGAGCCGGAGGCGCCGGTCCCTTTGACCTGCAGCAGGGTGCCTTTAGTCACCAGGCTCTTGATGGCGAGCTTGACGCGGGAGTTGTTCTTCTCCACGTCGTAGCCGCCGGCGGCGAGAGCTTTCTTCAGGGCTGCGAGGGACACGCCGCTCCTCTCCTTGGACGCGGACACGGCTTTAACGATCAGCTCACCGACGCCTGGACCTGCTTTCTTGGCTTTGGCAGCGGACTTCTTCTTGGGCGCTTTGGCCGGCGGGGCGGCAGCAGCTGGAGCGGTTTCTGCCATCTCTCTGAGCGGAGTTACAGTCTTTCAAACACTGAGTTCAATGAGTGTCGCTCGAGCAGCGCTGCGCTCTTAAACAACACATGAGAACCTTATAGACTCAACCCGCCGCTCGGCGTCTGCGAGCCCCTCGCGCGTGTGTTTTCTTCTCCTACATTTAAGGACAAAACTCGAGTGCTAAAACAGTTTGACGCAGTAGAAACAAAGTGAACAGCAAACAGAGGTTCTTGGCTTTCTGTGGAGACTAAAATACGCGGCGAGGAAATGTTTGTTTTGCCCCGGTCAGATCAAACTCAAGGCGAGCATCAGCCACGGAACAAAGCGGCGTGTAAATATAATGCCTTATTTAAGTGGACAAAGTTGATCAAAGACCGAAATCGTCCTCTGTTTCAGAAACAGTTTGTAAGTGATTGCAATGAACTCAGCATCAGTGAGGGGCGTAGTTCACACAGCTGTAGTTTTGTGCAGCTTGAAGCACACGCAGGTCCGGGGCTCCTCATCTTCGGTCGGTGTCCACGGAGGCCAGATTTGTGCAGTGTTTGCTGGAGTCTGCCTTGAAATTATGGGTACAAGCATTACTCATATTATTCAGGATGGCTTTGCCAGTTATCCTCGTAATCTGTTGAGCCTCCCACACTACCAGTTTAACAGCACAGGGGTCACTTTTTACTCCCTACTACATCATTTTAGATGTTTTACAGTGTGGATCTCCTTGAACCTTCTAATAATTTTTTGCACAGTGGCTAATGGTGCTTGAAAATATTTGGAAAGACCTTTGTAGCCTTTTTACTTCTTGTGAGCATCCAAAATATTCAATTGTAGATCCTCACTAAGCTCTTTGGTTTTAACCATGACTTGTAATTGACCAGAAACTCACTAGCGAACAGGTGAATCAGCCGTATAGCAGATTAGAATGCTCTAGAACCGGGTACTCTGCAGGCGGCCTGTCTGCATTACATTTGTGGCCCGCGCCATGCTGGAGATTAATGTATTTTTATTATAATCTGTGCTCCAATGTGGTGCAAATATTAAGCAGTGTGACTTTGTTTGCGTCATTTAAATGCAGTTACTCCTACTTTGCATTGTGTAAATGGCAGATGGTCCGATTAGTAGCGTGAAAAAACTTCATTCAAATTGTGAGTGGGTTAAAGCAAGCAAAAGTTTTGCACTCTTGCAAAACCTTGATTAGCATTGGAATATAACCTTATTATTACGAAAAAACAAGAGATGACTTGAAGAACACAGATAAACCATATTTTGTCGAGTTGTGTGTTAGATAGATCCTAGTGAACTGGCAAATTACAGATCCATTTCAAATCTTCCATTTATTTCAAAAATTTTAGACAAAGTTGTGTCTGCTCAATTATGCTCCTTTCTGAAAAAAAAAAACTAACTAAGACTAACCGTTAGTCGACCAGAAGAGGCTTGGTCGACCAAAATTTTATTAGTCACAGAAAAAAATTTTTTTTCCAAATTGGCGAAGTCACACAGATCGTTAACGGCCGATCTATGTGGTAATACAGTACATCGGGCAGGACATCCAAACGCTCGCCTATCATTCATAGACCTTAAATAAGACATCATCTGAAATATGTTAGTAGCAGCAACTTTACTGCTCAATCTAATGTTAATCTAGAGAAATGTGTGCTGTTGAAATGTTTGTTCAGAGTGTGGAAACTGAACAGTAGCTCACTGCAGGACATATGGAGCCACCGGATATATATATATATATATATATATATATATATATATAATGATCATATTACCCCAATTTTGCACTGGCTTCTTATTAAGTTCCCTATAATTTACAAAATATCACTACTTACTTATAAGGCCCTAAATGGTTTAGCTTCTGCGTACCTAACTAGTCTTCTACCACGCTACAATCCATCACGCTCCCTAAGGTCGCACTGCCAGAGTCCACTAAAGGAGGTCGAGCTTTTTCATATTTGACTCCCAAACTCTGGAATAGCCTTCCTGATAACATTCAGCAGAACCAACATACAAAACTACCCAATTTTGCTAGAAGTTTAATCACAACATATAATCATTGCAGTTAATATTGTTCACTGTCTGTTTGATTACATCATTAACTAACTGCATTAATTTTACTGTACATTTCTGGCATATGGACATCAACTTGACATAGTCACCACTGATGCTACTCCTAAATATAATGTAGAAACTTTAAAACAGAAACTTACATTTTCTGTAAAGCAGCTTTGCAACGATTTGTATCGTACAAAGCAGTATATCAGTATATATAAATAAACTTGAATTTAATTTAATTGAATTTAATTGTATTCACGTTTGATCAGTTAAAGCTTTTCTATCTTCTTTGTCCATATTAGGGATTTCCCGAAACGTTCTATTATTTCCATGATGCATATGTAAAGTTTCTGTGCGAGGGCGCCCTCTGGCATCCAGTATGAATGAAACAGTAATGTATGAATGTAAGTGCAAATAGCCTGCCTTGTTGGCAGAGAACTCCACCCACCAACGTGTGATTGGGATAGTCAACAAATTCAGTGGTGTTGATGGTAAAGCGTGTGGCATAGCCTACTCCTTTTGACGCGATTGACTCGAGTTCGAATCTGCCTTTTGGCGAACTTTTTTTCTCCCTTTTCAAATTTCAAATCACATCAGAAAAGCATTTATTTTTTAAATAAAAATGAAGTAAATAATCAAAAAGTTGAAAATAAAGTATCGGGTAGGGTTAGGGTAGGTGTAGGGAGGGCTTTATTGTCCCAATAAGGTGGCATCCATTTAATAATTTGAATTAAAATTAAAATTTACACTCAATAAGTTATTATTGCATACTGTTT